CTTGCTGTTTGGTTCTTTTGGATTGGTCATCTTCATTTTCTTTACTTACTCGAGATAGGCGTCCAATCAGACTTCTTTGATTGGACACGTAATTGGTGCTCTTATCTCATGGGTCTTGGCAATTAACTACTGTGACGACCTTTGTTCTAGATAGGTGCCTTTTAGGTCGTTGGAATCTTTTGTGCTCTTCAAGCATTTTTATGGCACGTTGTACACATTTTGTCTACTAAATTTGTATTTTCATTGGCTATTAATAGCTCTAAAGAATACTTCAAGAATTGTTTATTTCCAAAAAAATTGTCTAAATACTAAAATGTTTTTTCTTTGTATGTGTAGGAGGGCTTTGACCATCGCATCACTATACGCAGTGGTATTTGTTTCATAACATCTCCTGTGGTCTCCTAAAGTATCTAGATGGGTTCTCGTTTCCCATCTCATAAGCTCAGCAATGGCCTTTATGTATCAGGCCGGCCTGAACAGCCGAAGGAGAGGGCTCCAACAATGACCTCTGTGGCCATGCCATATACTGGTGGTGATATCAAGAGGTCTGGAGAGTTGGGCAAAATGTTTGATATTCCTGTAGATGGCTCAAAGTCCAGGAAATCCGGACCTATAACTGGTGCTCCTTCAAGGACTGGGTCATTTGGAGGAGCTGCTTCACATTCAGGGCCAATCATGCCTAATGCAGCTGCCCGGGCAGCCTATACTACATCAGGTGCTGTATCATCTGGAGGAAGTGGTTCAGTTTCATTAAAAAAATCAAATTCAGGACCCCTAAATAAGCATGGAGAGCCAGTAAAGAAGTCATCTGGCCCTCAGTCAGGTGGAGTAACGCCTTCTGGCCGCCAAAACTCTGGTCCCCTTCCTCCTGTTCTTCCTACTACCGGTCTGATTACATCTGGTCCTATATCTTCAGGCCCACTGAACTCGTCTGGGGCACCTCGGAAGGTATCTGGTCCTTTAGAATCTATGGGGTCTATGAAAAATCCAGGCTATGCTGTTATTCACAATCAGGCAGTGACTGTTCTTAGCCAAGATGATGACTTTTCCTTCAGAAAGAACTTCCCGAAGCTGATATTGTGGTCATTGATTCTACTTTTTGTAATGGGTTTCATTGCTGGTGGTTTTATCCTTGGAGCAGTCCATAATGCCATTCTCTTAATAGTTGTTGTTGTTCTTTTTGGTGCTGTTGCCTCTTTTTTCATATGGAATACTTGTTTTGGGAGAAGAGCTATCATGGCTTACATTGCGCGTTACCCAGATGCCGAGCTACGAAATGCAAAAAATGGGCAATTTGTGAAAATTTCTGGGGTACGTGTCCTTTTTCCCCTTAAATTTGTTTTGGTGTGTCAGCTAGTCAAAGTTGTGATGAATTTATTTTAACATGTTTATGCTCATCTGCTCTTATACAAGTAGATTTACTTTTTCATGACTCTCCTTTCTGAAGACGGGGAATCATGCCTGTTTACAAGTTGCAATGCAGATTTCTGCATTTCATTAATTGTCACTGATGTTTTCAAAATCTAATGAAGAGTTTGTGTTCAGTTCAATGCATATGATTTGCAAAGGAAAGCTAATCTTCATTCAAAATAATTCCAGAACCAAAATTATGAATATAGAAGTGGCAATGGGTATCAACTGGAAGTGAAAACAGAACTCCCCAATTTTTTGTTTTATTTGTGTTTAGAGGTGAAGTTCCAGGGATCTGTGTGAGTGTGCGCACTCACATTGCATAATCATAAGCAGTTTAGCATTCACTGCTCAGTTAACTCTGCATTGGTTTATAACCTGATGGATGTGTGACAATGCTTGATCTTGCATACCTATGTAATATAACTTGTGACATGAATCTGTTTTGGCAGAAGGATATTGTTCTGGGAGGAATGGGCAGATGAGGGTTAATACTCAATATACTATTTTTCTCAAGTACATTTTTGATTGACAGGGATGGAATTTCTTTACAGTGCATGTCTTCCAATATGTTTGGAGGCACTGGTTATGTTGTTTTAGTTATTGATTACCACTTTTTTATGCTCAAGTAATTCATATACATGACTATTGTGTTTTTAAAGGTGGTCACCTGTGGAAACGTGCCCCTGGAGTCATCTTTCCAAAGAGTTCCTAGATGTGTATATACCTCCACAAGTTTGTACGAGTACAGAGGATGGGACTCAAAAGCAGCCAACCCAACTCATCGTCGTTTCAGTTGGGGTCTTAGATCATTAGAAGTGAGTGATTGAAATATTGATTAGATAAATTTTGATGGACTCTATCGTGCATGTACGTAATTGGCACATCTCTTAGGTTTATGGAAAATTTTGTTAACCATTAGTGTTTACTGTAAATAGACTGTTTTCTCATTTTAAATTTTGTATAACTTGGGAAATATCTTATACATTTCACCTCATGCATGTAGACAAAAAATGGTGATTGCTACAAATTGTCTCTGCTTCGGGCTGGTGGCCAATGTTAACCATTAGTGTTTACTGGAAATAGATTGTTTTCTCATTTTAAATTTTGTATAACATGGGAAATATCTTATACATTTCACCTCATGCATGTAGACAAAAATGGTGATTGCTGGCCGTGAATAATCTGCATTTTTCATTTTTCTGGAGAATGTCTGACCTTGTTATTGTTGCCAACAACATCTTTTCTGCTTACCATGTTTAGTTGTTTTGCTTTGTTTTATTTGGCTCTTGGATTGGTTGTAATGACATATCGATTCAAGGTGCCCATTCATGCCACTTTCTACAGACTGATGCGCCGTTGATTATAGATTATTTTATTGGGTTTTGAGTTTTTACTGGAAGGTCTGTAAAATTTCTATTTCAGAGGCGTGTGGTTGACTTCTACATTTCTGATTTTCAATCTGGATTGAGAGCATTGGTTAAAACTGGCTATGGAGCGAGGGTGACTCCTTATGTTGATGATTCCCTTGTCATTGATGCTAACCCGGGTGCTGAAGAGCTGTCTCCAGATTTTGTCAAATGGCTGGGAGAAAGGAATCTTTCTAGTGATGATCGAATAATGCGAATGAAAGAAGGGTAAATGATTTCTTTTTTTTGATTTTCTTACTTTCAGCATAGCTCTTGGTCTATGCATACTTATGTGCCAGTATAAACTCTCTGTGTTTTTTGTTTTTCCTCAATTTGTAATAAGGATTTTCTGGGACATATCTAAAGACTGTGCTCTCGCTTATTTAGATTTGCAAGGAGGGGGATGGGAATTAAACAATCTTTTGTTTGGTTAGAAGAGGGGAGGGAGCTGATCGGTATAACTTACAAGCTACTTTGTACCCATGTCGAACAGATTTTCTATAAAAATAATAGGTTGTGCAGTCCAAGAATTCTAGTTTTTGTTTTACCCTCGATAAGAGATGGTAGCTTTTCAGTATCTCTCAGGTTCTCATGTCTTGTATCTTTTCTGTTATTATATTAGCTGCTTTCGATGAGTTGCATGTAACCTGGAATAACTGTAGATGTTTTGTGTGTAGGTACATCAAAGAAGGAAGCACTGTTAGTGTAATGGGAGTTGTTCAAAGGAATGACAACGTGCTTATGATCGTCCCTCCCCCCGAACCGATTACAACTGGGTGCCAATGGGCCAAATGTATTTTTCCAGCTAGCCTCGAGGGTATTGTTTTGAGATGCGAAGATACTTCAAAGCATGATGTCATACCTGTGTAATAGCTTGTGCTGTAGACTCACTTTGGGATTCCTTTTTTTTTTTCTTCTCTCTTTTCCATCTAAATATCGATGGTGGTGGAAGTGATATGGAGGTGGCATTGATGATTGTGATAGACTGGTGGTGGTGTTTTCTTCTTTTCGGTTTCACTAGGTGTATAGTTTTAAGTGTTTTCTGCCATCTTTTTTTCATTTTTTGTTTAACCTAGGTCTTGAAGGTTGTGATGGGGGTTGGGTTTGATATATTGTAGAGAATTTTACATGCTTGAGGCAGCGGATTGAGATTATGATAAATAGAAAGAAAAATGTTGTGAGATATTAGTATATTTTCTCAAAGCAGAGATTACTTTGTTGTTTACATGGCAAGTTGTTAATCATATCAATTGAGCTTCTTGAAGATTCTTCCTCGAGCGATTAATATCTACAGTATCAGTCTGGAAGATTCAAGCTTCTGTGTATTGAAGAGAGCATGCTTAAGCTTTCAATGGTCTGTAATATTGTACTCGTTGCTCTTCTTACATCCTTTGGATCCTTTTCCCATAAAAAATCTATGTTCAGGAGTTAAACTACCATGTAAGAATGCTGCGTCTCTCAATCTATTAAATCTGTGCCAACCTGTTCTCTCTGTTAGTAGGATTTAATTTTTCCTGTTAGTAAATCAGAAATAAGACTTGCATAATCCTACTCTCCCTTGGGTTATCCCGAGTAAAGTGATATTAATGTCTAATTTAAATACGCATTAAATCCTATACTATTAATTGTGTTCTTAGCAATGAAATTAGATCATAAACACGTAGAATAGTGATCTTTTTTAATTCTTGTTATCATGAAAGGCTTGGGCCAGATGGCCCAGGTGGTCCTTGTCCCGGGTTCTTAAATCCATATCTCCTTTCATAGCTCTTAAACCCGATTCAACGTGTTCATTCGAAAAACTAAAGCTAAAGAGTTAATTCGGCCACGCGTGTTGAAAACTCAATTAATCAAAACAATATCTTTTCTGATTTCTTACTACGAAAAAAAAGTGAGTTCACTCGGTGATTAAATATTTAATCTAATAATTAATACCCTTTATATAATTCAATAATTATTCCAGGAGTAACCGTTACATATGAACATGTCAAATCATACCTCTTAGTTACGAGGCTTCTCCATAAAAATAAAATTATCTTAATAGATTAACTCTCTCAAGAAGAATTTAATGGAGTAAATTAACTTCCCATTAATGGAGGGGAGAGATTAACATGATGCTGATTTGTCGAGCGTAACAAGTCCGAGTTATAGAGGACCTAATTGACAACAATCCAATAGATAGATCTCCTTTCTTGCCCAAGCCTAAAAAGAAACTAATATAAAATGAACCGACATCCAGTTGTCATCTTCTGTCTCTCAAGATCTCTCCGTTTTCTTGAGAAAGATCAGGTCAGATTTTTACAGAGACACAAGACTCCTACTTCACCTTCTCTGTTAAGCTTTTTATCTCTCTAGAGCTATATGTGCTTGCACATATAAATATAAAGAGGGAGATGGTAAGGTCATCAGGGAAGCAAAAATCAACAAAACTGGTCATAGTTTGTGTGGTTCTATTAGGGTTTGGCCTGATTGGTGATTATCTGTGGGCATCTTCTCCACATTTTGCTTCTTCTTCTTATATATCCAACCGGGTTCCTCCTAAATATCCTCAATCCAATGTAATAATTCCAAAACAAGAACCACATCTTGCTGACACTAAACACCAAAAAATAAAGGTACGATCTTTTTTGCTTTACTTACAATTTTAGCACTGCCCATTCGAGTGTTTTTGCAGTTTTGGAGCTTTATTTATGGTTATGGGAGTAATGTAGGAAAAAGTTGAATGCTTGGTTGTTTATTACTGTTGTTATGGTGGGGGCTGATAAAGCTACAAGTTTTTTGGTTCAAATTAGGTTTGTAGCACAATCCATTCATGGAATGCCTGTTTACTTTGTGTTTATAGTGAAATCCCGGATGTGTAGGAAAGGTTAAGAATAGTTGTTTGTTTGTTTGTTTATGTGTGTAGGTAGATGGTGTCCATGATCGATCCTTATCGGCTACATTTGCTGATTTGCCTGCACCGGAACTGAAATGGGAGAAAATGGCTAATGCACCTGTGCCTCGGTTGGATGGGGCTGCAATACAAATTAAGGATCTTCTATATGTTTTTGCTGGATATGGAACAATTGATTTTGTGAGAAACCTTTTCCACCTCTTCTACTATTCTTGCTCACTATGGTTTGACTTTGTGTATGTATTTGCCAATTTTTGAGGTGGAACTTATCTTGGAATTGACAGGTGCATTCACATGTAGATATTTACAATTTTACTGGTAATACCTGGGGAGGTAGATTTGATATGCCTAAAGAAATGGCTCATTCACATTTGGGAATGGTCACAGATGGGAGATACATTTATGTTGTCACTGGACAATATGGTCCTCAATGCAGAGGGCCTACAGCTCGTAATTTCGTGCTAGATACCGAGACAAGGAAATGGCAGGATTTACCTCCTTTACCAGTTCCTAGGTATGTGCACGTGTCAAAATAGTTTGAAATGAACTTTAAATTGTGTGCAAGACATTGGCTGATCTTGCAACAGCATAATTTGACTGTTTGTTGATTTTTCTTTGAGAAATGGATTATCTTATGCTTTTTGCACAGTCATCTGCCTTATCTTGGTGGTTCTTATTCTGAATTGAAATGCTAAGTGTCATTGATGGAATGTACTGGTGACTTTAAATATTTGAACTTTGAAGCCAAAATTAGTTCATGCTCTGTATTTTTTCCTTTGCTCTTTGGTAAATGGTTCTGAACTTTGATGTAATAACACTCAGATATGCACCAGCAACTCAACTTTGGAGAGGCAGACTCCATGTGATGGGTGGTAGCAAGGAAAATCGGCACACTCCAGCATTAGAGCATTGGAGTCTTGCTGTAAAGGATGGGAAAGCATTGGAAAAGGAATGGAGGACTGAGATACCAATTCCTCGTGGAGGACCACATCGGTTTCTGGCCAATCCTAGTCTTATTATTTCCGCATTTAGTTATGTTGTTTGGTTTGGAATGAATTCCCAATAGGCTATTACAGTGTCACTAATAAAACATTTTATTGTTGATAGTGTTTCTGTCAATCAAGTGATCACAATTTGTAACCATCCAGTGAAACGACCGAGGAAATAGTTCACAACTGAAGCTTGTATATGTTTTTAATTTATGTGTCTATGCAGGGCTTGTGTCGTGGTTAATGATCGACTTCTCATTATTGGTGGTCAGGAAGGTGATTTTATGGCCAAGCCAGGATCACCTATTTTCAAATGCTCTCGTAGGAATGAGGTATATTGACTAGTGATCTTTATATACAAATCCTATATGACTTCTTCTGTAGATTGCATCGACATTCTCTATCCAAGCTTTTAAGTAGTCCCCTAAAACTTTTTCAAGTTTTCTTGGTTTGCTCATGTTTGATAAGAAGAAAATAAGAGAGCCTAACATCACTTGTCTTTCAATTTTATATGAAATGGAACTTCATATGAAACTGAAAATAAAAACATGATTTATCGTTGATTTGGTGATTATCTTGTATCATTAAGCTTTATAAGTTTGTTTCAACTATGCTCAATCTCCTTTATTTGTGTAACCAACCTTGAGACCTAATGTTTAGATTTTTGAATTAACTTTTAGGTATATAATCACTAAAACATTCCATGTTTATGTTGTAGCTCGGAGAAATTTTTCTTCACATCCCTTCTCTCTTTCCCTCTGCTTTTATTTAATGGTTTTGGTTCATTATGATTCTTTTATTGTTTCAGATAGTATATGATGAGGTCTACATGCTGGATGATGAGATGAAGTGGAAACCTTTATCTCCTATGCCAAAGGCTGACTCTCACATTGAATTTGCTTGGGCAATTGTTAATAATTCCATTGTTATTGCTGGAGGCACCACTGAAAAACACCCTATAACTAAAAAAATGGTCCTGGTTGGTGAAGTTTTCCAGTTCAACTTGGATACACTGGTATGAAATTTATGTTTCTTATGTGCTTCCAAACTAGTTTGGCATCAAGGTTTGGTTGTTATTTTTGGATGTTCTCCCAGACAATTTACATAACCCAACATATTTCTACACGTCAAAGTACCTGCAATTTACACAATGCCCCAGGTGTAATCTGTAATGGGTTTTGTACATAACCCTACAGATCTTCATACATGTGTTAAATGCTTGTGCATACACTTCAAGACGCACACATCCATTTCTTGTTTGTTGCTGCCATTGGAAAGTTATTGGCTCGCTGCTTTCTAGATGCTTTCATCTGCCTGTTCTGAATGGTTTTTGAAACTCTGAATTGAAATTCTCCAAAGATTTGATGACATATTATAGACTCTAGTATGCATTCTCTATTTGTTAAATCTTAGGCTCTATTCTTTTTTCCTGGTGGAAGGCTTTGTACAGGAACAGCCCAGTAATTGGTTGAAATCTTTGTTCGCTGATAGTCAAGAAACTTCAGATTTAATTATCGAAGTGTGTAGATTGATGCGGTAAATGATAGCATTGTATTTGGAATTGAATTCGTTCAGATTACGAAGATTTTAGGGAATACCTTGAAAGTATTGTCAGAGAACAGCTGATGTGATTTTTCTGCTATCCTTCTGACCTCAGAAGGACAAGAAACTTTTCCTCCCGGTGTTTCATGATTCGGGGCACTGTTACCTGAACTTGACTGCCCTATCAAGCTTTGTTGACCAAGAATAGCAATGAAATAGTATTGGTTCCGGTGAACACCAAAATCTAGACGTGATAAGAACCTGATCAATTTCACAATCGGTTTGTGGCAGCTTCTACCGTGGCATGTGCTTGTGTCTCCCAAAAGTCCTTTAGAAGTTTGTCATGTTAATGCCTGCTCCAGAATCTGACAAACTTTTGTCATATCATTGCAGTCACAACAATATACAATATGGATATCTAGATCACATTTTTTTTAGCTGCATTAACCGGGGCCTTTTTTTCTTCTCTTTCCTCTGTAAATTGATTTCTGTTACAACGGATGGTATTATATAACTTGTATTTTTATGTCATAAATGCCTGCAGACATGGTCAGTAATCGGAAAACTTCCATATCGTGTGAAAACTACACTGGTTGGATTCTGGAACGGATGGTTGTACTTTACATCAGGACAGCGAGATAGAGGACCAGATGATCCAGCACCGAAAAAAGTCATTGCAGATATGTGGAGAACCAAACTGAAATTGAACTCATGACCGATATCTGTTTCTTCTTTGGTAGGATAGCCCCTCCTATCTCACCAATTGATGTCTCATCATCAAGGCAAATATTTATCTGTATCGTTCTTCCACACATTTTTGTGATTTTTGTCAACATTTTTTACTCCCCAGTGTAAGTGAAGGAATGAGTGAAGTAGCAATTCTTCCCGGTGTGTTGTGTCAACTTGAGAGTATACGTCACTGTAACATGGAAAGCGCTTTATTAGATTTTATTTCTGGAAAAATAATAAAAATGTGCCCTTTTCAATCTCGTATCTGGCTCGAGATTCTCGTGATTACAAGTATTTGATGAACGCGCACCTTTGTCTTTCAACTGTCGAGAAGATGTTTCTCTGATGCGTGAGCTTCTGGCTGGGTGGTTTGGTGACCAACGTAAAGCATGGTGATCAAGATAATGCGTGTTTGGCGGCTAAAACATTGTTCCTTGAAAATTTAAAATTTAATTTTATGTAAAATTATTGTTTTTGGGTCGGATGTTAAAAGTAAATTTAATAAAATTAAAAGAATGTTATTTTAATATATTTTTAAATAAAAAATTATTTATAAAACAATCACTATAATAACTGCAGGGAAGTGTAGGATTTGAGTCCTATTCTTGGATAGCTTGTAAGGTTTATTACTATTGAGTGTCAACAAGTACGGGTTTTTTTTTTTAATTATTATTATTGTTATTCTTAACAAAAAGCAAGATCGATTTTCGTCTATCGAATGACATGACCTGAAACAATCAGTCCAAACTATGGAGGGCTAATTGAGCTAGTCCAAAAGGACTCATGAATACTCACTCAACTGCTTTAGTGCTTGGAGCCTGATTTTATAGAAATAATAAGTTGACGGATAAATGAGGCTGAGGCTGATGATTTTCATTCTGATCCAGGAGGCAGTGACTCAATATGGATCACTTCCATGGCCTCCCTCAAGATTTGTCTAAAAGAGGCATAGTCTAGTATTATTCATATTTTATTCATGAAACATGTACATAGCAGATGGTTGAGCTGCATGAGGGCTACCATCTACAGGGCTAAGAAGTATGGCCTTTTGAGCGATCATTTGGAAACACTCTTATGTTAACTCAGCACCTTACTGCTCCTGTTTCCAGCTCAAATTTTACAAGAAAGAGCTCCCCATCAAACCTCAACTCAGATGCTTCGGCAGGGTGAAGTAAGCTATCCACCATTCCACCAAAAACGTACAAGCGACGCCCTGAATGATCTGCACAGGCTCGATGGAATGATCTGCAGTTGGGTTTATAACCCTTTGCCTTGAGCCTTCTCCACATATTTGCTTGTAATCCCCTTGAGTTTAATGGAGTTGACTGCTCTTTAATTGATGGGATCTTACTAACATCTAACACCCAAAAATCTCCCTTCCTGTGTCTCTGTGAATCTTCCCCTCCATAGATTAGCAGCCGACCTCCCAAAATTAGTGTGGCTGAGTGGCCAACTCGCGGGAGGGAGACTCCTTCAGGTATGTCTTGCAAATTATAGAGCATCTGTACCCACTTGAGTTGATCCTCAGATGCTTGCAAGAGCCAGACATCATGCAGCACATCATACCCCAAACCTCTTCCTCCAAATAGAACAGTTCCTGTTCCTTCGATACATGTCAATGTGTGTCCTGAACGAGGTGGAGGTGATGGATGAGCCACCAGCTCTATCCACGTTCCAGAACAGAAATTCTCTGAAAGTTCTAGAATCCAAGTATCTCCCAATCTAAGGCCGAACAATCCAATACCTCCATGGATGACCATTGTCCTTTTATCAATGCAACAAGCAGCATGAGCCCCACGGGGTGGTGGGGCTACGGAGCTCACATCAAGCAGCCTCCATGACAATGTTGTTATACCAAGGTTCTCACTAAGTACTACTTGCCCCACCCATGTATCATTTTGACGCATCCCACGATCATTAATTCCTCCAAAGAGCACAAGATTTTCGCCAATGACGGAGCAAGTATGCCCAAATCTCCCACTCGGAATTCCTGAGGTAACCTTCTGCCATTTCAGCATTCTTTGAAAATCTTTACCTATGTATGCCACCCATGTATCATCGAGATCTCGCCCTGCAAAGAAGACCAACACAACAAAAACAAGAAATGGTTATACACCGAAGCAATTTGACATAAAAAGGTAAAAATAAATAAATGAAGAACAGCTTCAGAAAAATCAAGAGAATGATGAACGTTCAATTATTGTCCATTTTCATTAAAAGTTTTCCCGATGGGGCCTGCTGAAATGATTCAACCATCCTTCCACAATATAATTATAACTCAAACTGCTAATAAATATTGGAATATATGAACAAAGTGGCATTGTGGGATGTGTTTTCCACTTCACAGTTCAGGAAGCGAAAACGGATGCTGAGATTGATTAGCTTCTGGAATTGACGCCTTTACTAGTTGAAATTACTTTCAAGTTCAAGGATGAGGGTAACTGTACTTTATCAGAAATGGACAATTAAATTGATTCTAATGAACGTTTTTGACTGGAAAAGCAGCAGCAGAAAACTTTGTGGAATAAGTAGATCATTGCTGCCATACGGTAATCTGGTTGCCAAAATGGGCACTCAAGAAGCATTGTAAGAAGTGGGACTACTGCATTTGCAGCTAGCTAGCAAGAAAGAAACCACATCATCACTTCACAATTTCTTTTATGTTAAAAATTTAGCAGAGGAGCATGCTTTAGGCTATAATGCTGCACAGATACATGTAGTTAAATTTATAAACGTAGAAGGCAGCCAGAAACTTACGATGCATAACTCAACTCAACTCAACACAACGAATGCTCGATTTCAAACTTACCAATATATTGAAGCCATGATCAAGAAGCAAGAACATTCTCAAGCAATGAAACCCTAATCCATGGTTAGTTGAATCAGGAACACTAGAAATCTGAAGGCAGAACTAATGAGCAGGCATAAACTAATATAAACATAACTTTAGCATCCTTAACCAGCAAATCAAACAGTGAAGCATCACAGACGCACACGGGCACATTTAAGAAAGATAACATATTAAGAGATTGGATTTGGGAATCATAACATCTAATCAAATGAAAGATGGGCTGACCTCCTTCACGGCCACCACCAAACAAGACCAGGCAATCAGAAACAAAGTTGAGAGAGTGAGAAGCCCTGGGAGTTGGGAGCATCAAGTCACTATCTGGGTCAGGCAGTTTATGGCAAGAAAATGAGTCAAGCTGAGACACCTGCTTGTATAGCCTCATCCATGGCAACTGCTGATTGTTGTTCGTATTGATAGAAGACTTGAAGGCATCCACTGATGTGGACCCCCACTCCCTCCTGCATATGGACTCCCACAGTGTATCAGAAGTTGTTAAGGACCTGAACCTTTTGCAAGTCATGGCAAAGGAGATAAGTGAATCTACAGGAAGCAGAAGCATAATTGTGAAGAGATGGTCATCAGCCAGCTTAACTATAGGTGATGCTGATGATGATCCAATGTTGCTGCTTCTAGGAGTACTCTTTGCCATGAAGAAAGTAGCCATGCTTGTTGTTTCGTAGGATAGTCCTGACTATGTTTTTTTAAGATGTAAGGCTATGGTTATTGGAGCAACTGAGTTATGTGGGATTGTGTTGGACAGAGGGTAGGGAGAAACAAAACATAGTTCTGAAATGGTCTAGTGTTCATGTCATGCCAAAGAATGAAATGGTGAAAAATATGGAAGATGGTAAATTCAGTAGACTTGAAAAGAGATAGATCGTGGATAGAAAGATAGGTGATGAGGGGAGCCCATTTCTTTTGTCTGGTACATGAAATGATGAGCAACCTTCATTCTCAACTGTTCCTTGCCACCATGTCATTTTGAAGACAAGGAAGCCAAATGACAAATAGGGACCTTTGTCTATATCTTCTCGCTTCATCTTCTACTCTCTGATCTTTTTTTTCCAGAATTTACTTTGTGAGTCCACAAGGGATGTCCTTTTAGAGAAGTTAAAACCCAAAAGACCCTAACATATTACCCAATTCTCAATTGAGTTTCAAAACTATAAGTTTTATCAATTGAGTCCCAAAGAGTTCAGACACACTTCTCAATTGGGTCTCCCGTCCATGTCCTTTAATTGTTTTGTCAAGTTTCTTCAAAACGAAGCCGCTATACCGCGTATAACATGTGAAGCATTAGGGATCCGATTGATAGATTGTATTGTCTTGGGACTCAGTATAGATTACGGACTGTATTGAGGTTTAGATTTGCTTTCACTAGATTTCCCTGGCTACATAAAGGTTAGGGATCCACAAGCTGTGTTTATAGGATCCTTGTACATGACGGAGGAAATGTGTCCAGCAGTGAATAATCATTAGGTGAGAGAGAGAGAAGAGGGCAGTAGAATTTCGAGTGCCAGGTGGAATAGTCATCATCAGGATTGAGACTTAAAAGGGTCCATTAATCTACTACGTGTCATAATTGAAACCGTTGGATACACCATCATCATCACGAAGACACCAAATGAAGCACTTGTATTAACTTCCAATGGGGGTAAAACCCATGAACGGAACATCATCCTTCTTTTCATCCTGTTAGATGGGGGTAAAACCCATGAACGGAACATCACCCTTCTTTTCATCCTGTTAGTGGAAGCAGTGAGAAGGCTTGACGAAAAGTATCCTATTAACCCTCTCGGTTCATCACAGGTTATTGAAGAATAGATTTAAACAAATGGCTTCATTCATGCCTTGGTAGTCTCTCAACAGGCCAAAAACCAAATTTCTGATGCCATGGGCTGTACCATTTTGATACTTCCTTGAGATAAGACTAAAACTTGGTTGCTTGCAATTATCAAGAGATTCTGTCTTGATTTGCAATTTCACGTTAATGACAATTACACCTTACAGTTTGATCACAGTTCATTTCAACATCACATTTTCAAACAGAAGAGGTAGGTCCTAGACTATTTTTCAATGCCGATAAGGATGACCGATGGCCATGCATGTTTGGAGAAGCTAATATGATGGCTGAATTTGTCATATGTAGCAGCCCTTTTGCCTTACGTGTGTTTTGAAGATCAATTACTGGCAATACAAGTCAAGCATTTGCAAGAAATTGTGCTTGCCATAAATTAATAAAAAAAAAACTTTTGCATTATCACGAGACCTGTGTACAAACTGCAGTCCACCTACAACAAGTCCTAGGAGTTTTTAGGACATGAAAGTTGAAGGGGAAGACGGGGAAAAGAAAACTAATGAGGTTGTTTTGATGTGAATTAGGATACAAACTCAGCTTCATGCGGCTA